GTATTGGTGTCTATCATGACCTTCAAGCAAAGACATACTTACAACAAAAGTTGGTCTACCTTCTAAAGCTGCTTGGCAGATTTCTTCATCCTCTACTTCTGCCATGTTTTTAAATTGCAAGAGCAAATGGGTTTTCTTGACACAAAAAATGAGTTTCATTTAAAAATTTCTTCGCACTACAATACTGACAATTATGTTGAATTTTCTGAGGTAATTACTCTCTGTAGCAATATTATTTCTTGCTATGCGATGCATATTATACCTTTGAGTTCTCTCCTAGCCTGATTTATTTCATTTTGATTACAATTTATTTCAGCTGGCCTGAACTCACCTCTTTTATTCTGATGGCGGTTTATCTCAGCTCGTCTGGGCTTATCTCTCATTCTGACGGCAGTTTATCTCAGCTCGTCTAGCCTGCCTTCTTTCATTTTGACAAAGTCTAATAATTTCATTTCTTAAATTATCAGACATATTCATGCATCAAAGGTGTGTAAAAATGATGCTTGATATAATAAAAAGTTAAGTTTTCTTTTTTAAACTAATCTAAAAGAAAGTGTAAGCAAATAATTTAGAGCATAATATAATAATCTTTTATATTCTACCATATATAGCAATGTGTTAAGATAACATACTTTTATTAAAAGGTTAAACTAAAGTTTTAAATAAATTGATATAATCTTTTAAACTAAGTATTGTTAAATATTTAAGTTAGTTGTTATTAACTATTGACAAAATATTTTTAGTATTTAATCAAAAAAAAAAAGTAAAGTAATTTTTAAGAACTCATAAATAAAGCAAATTAAAAATAATAAGGCCTGTCTGCTCAGCAAGTACTGCTAAACTATAAGGATAAAATGTAATCATTCATCATAAACACCTATTCATTACTTTGAAACACATTTAATGCAAGATTTGCAATAAATACAAAACTAATAAAAAAAACCTCTATAAACAATCATATATTTGCTTTAAGTGAAGAAACTTGGAAATATTGAAACTTGTTTAACTATTTTATATATTTTTAAAGATATCTAATATTCTAAAGAAAAAAAAGTCAATAATATATATTCTATACATATAATATATGTATAGACACTTTTTTATATATTTTATTGTATATATGTCACATATATATATATATATATATATATATATATATATATATATATATATATATATATATATATATATATATATATATATATATATATATATATATATACATATATATATAATTATATATCTTTTAAACAAATTTGCTCAAAAGTAACAGTATAAAAATTATTTAATGAAGTATATTTGTTCAATAAAAGTTACTTAAAATTATAAATATTAAAAAAATTATTATATTAAATTATATAATATTATATTATGATATTAAAAAACTATATATCTTTCAACATTTCTTATAAACCATTCTTTCAACAATTTTTTTTTTTTACACTTTTTATGACTACACTAACTACAAACAGATTTAATTTATGTATTTCATCATAACAGTACACCACTTAACTGGCGTGGACAACAATTTTGCTCCCAACAAAGCCAAGTCACATTATAGCAAAGTACACCACTTGGCTAGCAAAATCAAGACTCTTGCTGTAAACTAAGCCAAGTCACAACAATTTGAAAAGATATTTACAAACACATAAATGATATTTACACACTTTCAAAATATAAACCCATATAACCTAAACACAAACATAAATAACACATCAACATAAATAACACATAAGTATAAATTAATCTATATAAAAATATATAAATCAAGAAAAATATATAATTTAGAAACTTTACCTTATTTTTGTTTAATGACATACCTCGTATAATAAATGTTTAACAACTTGGAAAAATAAACGATCTGGTTTTTTATATAAAAGCAAACAGATTTTTTTTTATCTTCTTTAAAAGTAAGGTATTTAATGTTGTTCTTTTTTGTTCTTTCTAACATGTAACTGTGTGAGATGCAAGATATATATATATAACACTAACTTTATCAAGAGTTTGACCTCTTGAAAAGGGCATTGTCTTTTAGAGTCACCATCGTCTTTTAATTAAAAAATTAAAATTTTTATTAATTATTACTTATTACTAATTAAGTTGTTGAAGCAAAGTTTTCGATCTTATTACTGATTAAACAGATATTAACAGATTCAAGAGTACCTCATCGCGTGGTCAAAAAGAGAAGTATTTAAAATGCCAAGCATGCTCATAAAACTTTGTGTAAAAACGTGCACGAATGGTGTGCAGCATCAGAAGCATTAAGTTATTAATATTTATAGATAATAGTAGTATACTTAGAATGCATGTTTTATAGAACTTATTATTAATAAGTAACGAATAATAGAATAATAAATAATACAATAGTGATACTCAGAATGCATGTCAGTGGTGTACACTGGACTTTTAGATGTTTGAGTTTTGACACTTACAAGTATTGTGCAAACTCCAAACTTTCGTATATTCATACTTATGTCAAATGAGAATGTTTTGCAAAAAGTTGTAGTGATTGGAGCTTAGGGACGAAAAACCCCAATTTTTGGGCCCACCCAGCCCTTAATGTGGGAGCAACAAGTTGATAATTATTTTTTTAGTATTTTTATCTAAGTTTATATTCATCAACAAATTTCAAATTTCATCCAATAATTTCTTATTTTACGAAAATTATGACCATATAAACTTTTAACCCCCCTTAATTTGAGGGGGCTGTAAACTTTGTAGGGTCATAAAAACTAAAAACTAAGAGGTTGTATAGAACTTATTATTAATAAGTAACAAATAATAGAATAAAAAATGATATAATAGTGATAATCAGAATGCATATTTTATAGAACTTATTATTAATAAATAACAAATAATAATAATGGTATTATTATTTGTTAATGGTATAAGCAACCCTTGAAATTAGGGATGGCACTCGCCTATGCTGACCTAACTGCCAACCTGAAGGTGCTTGAGGTGCCGACCTCGTTTCTATGATTTATGGTCAAACCTTTGTATCAAATAATTTTTGCCGACCTGATGCTGACCTCAAAAATGATTAAGATCGGCAAATTATTGCCGACCTCATTTTTTCTAATTCTGAGGGTTGTATAAGAAATAAGATACACAGAAATCTTTTTAGTATTTAGACATGGGTCTGCCTTTAGTACTGGTAGTTAAGAAATAGCAAGTATTATTCAAAAATACTAGCATTTGCACTTCTTTCCTGGTCACAGATAAGCAACTGAAAAAAAAACATTTTTTGGTAGTAAGTATTGTATGCTCTTACAATACATACTACAGAGTCAGGGTTAGGGTTAGGGTTGTATGCCCTTACAATACATACTACAGAATTTGTGTTAATTAGTTGGTTATATAATGACCAGACAAAAACACTGAAGAAGACCTTAAAAACACTGTAGATAGTGGCATACCTAAATATTTCTGTGTTAGTTTTTTCATAATTATAAACTTGGATATCCTCTAGTAATGAAACATGTCTTCGTGACTTTGTGCAAAAAAGAGAGATTCTTTCGAGTACTCTGCTACTTCGTCTCTCATTGTGCAATGCAGAGTGTAAATCTAAAGTAATAAAAGATATTTAGTTCATAGACTGTATTTAAAGTTCAATAAAAATACAGAAGTCCTTACAATCCCTACTACAGAATTTGAGTTGATCAGTTGGTTATATAATAACCGAACAAAACCTGAAGTAGGTGTGTTGTATTCTTGATTTTCAGCAACTGTAATTTCAAGATCCTTATCTATGTCAAAGTTATTCAAATTGCCAATTAATATAATATCTTGCCAGAGTTGTAGGGGTAACATTAATATAATAATATAATATAATTAATCGTAATAAAACTTGGTCAGGCCATGTTATGCTCCTAAAAATCTTGTTTTTAAATCTGGGATTTAATATTGTTTTCTAAATTGTTGAAACCATTAAAGAATTTAAAAAGTTGAATCATGTCTTCTCTTTGTCTCCTTTTTGTCAAGTTAGTCAAGTTAAGAGCTTTTGGTATTTCTATTAATTGATTTTCTTGAGTGATGGTATTAATACCATCACTCAATGTATGTGTGATGGTATGAATGGTAATAATACCATCACTCATGTCAATCAATTGTACAACTTGGTTAACCAAGTTGTACAATGCTGGATACTTTCTAATAAACAATTTTACCTTTTCAAATAGATACTGCAAACTCTAATGAGTTTGATTAATAAGGCTGCATATAAACTTTTTTTTAAAATATATTTGATATTAATAAATATATTAGTATCAAAATACATATTAAAAAAAAAAAAAAGTTTATACGCAGCCTTATTAATCAAAAAGCATAATATATATATATATATATATATATATATATATATATATATATATATATATATATATATATATATATATATATATATATATATATATATATATATATATATATATATATATATATATATATATATACATATATATAATTTGGTCTACAGTATGTAAGGTGCATGGTTCTTCATAAAGTCTTCATTTCATTTAAGTTTCATTTATTCATTTCATTCAATAAAATCTGCATAAAAAACTAATTTTGCAAATCATGCAATAAATTTAAAACAGGATTTGTAAAATTGTTTTAAAACTATAAAGACAGTGTTGGTTCTTCTTTAACTTTTTTAATTTCTTAACTGCTTTATGATTTTATGAACATTATGATCTTATCTTTTTATATAAGCCTCTTCTTATATAATGTCTTATGTAATACTAAGGTATTACATAAGATATTATTTAAGGTATTTGATAATATTTGGTAATAAATAAGAAGAGAAATTTGATGAACTTTGTAAAAATGTTGAGAGTTGTATTATAATTTCTAAAATTTTTTTTAGTGTTTATATAAGACAGATATTGCATTTCTGGTGTTAATTTTGTTACTTGTCTTTAAGTTGGTTTTGTTATTAACATTAAATATATATATATATAAATATATTTTTTTAATAAAATTTAATGTATTTGTTTTTTTAGGGAATCATGTGTTATCAAGAAATAATATTTTCAGGATAAACTTGATACAACTTCATGCAATAAACAAAAGTTTAACGCTTCCCTTATCAATAAGTGGTATACTTTTTGAATTATTTTTTGATACCCTCATAAACCTTTTTTAACAATTTTCATAATTAGTTTTGAAATCAAAACTAATCATGAAAATTGTTTAAAAAGATTTATGAGGGTATTAAAAATTTCATAAAGCTTTTTATTTATGTTTTTTCATTTATTTTATTGGTTTTTAAAATTCATGCTGTCATATTATTAGTTGAAGTAAAGTTCATCAACTTAAAGATATTAAATTTGAACAGATTCAAATGTAAACCTTAAAAATTTTTAACTTGGAAAAACTTGAAATTTTGAAATGTAAAAATCACTAAAATACTGACAACAGCAAGAAATATTATAATAAAATTCTTTTAAAGGTTTTTCTTAAATTCTATATAAAGCTATGTTTATGTCAAGTTTTAAAAAATTCCATTATTAATTAAAATGTCATAAAAATACAGCATGGGTTGAGTTTTGTAGCAGGTCCCTGTTAATTGTTTTACAGAAGATCCTGTTAAAATGTTTTACAGAAGATCCTGTTAAAATCTTCTTGTTAAAATAGTTTTTCTTTTAAACATCTTCACCTCCAAGATAGCTGCAAGCAACCACTATTAGAGTTGAAAGTTACTGGAAGAGAAAAGATGAAGTTTATAAAGCAAGATAACGATTAACAGACGACTTAAAAGATTGCAAATTATATGAATCAAGAAAACAAGACTATGGGAGCGAATTCCAAAGAACTGACGTTCGAGGAAAAAAACTAGAAAAATAAGAATTTTTAGAGCAGTTAAGAACTAAGAACAATCACAGTAAAAGGATGAGACTTAATTTAATAATGAGTAAGACGAGAATGAATTTTAGTTGATGTTACAAGAGATGCTAGCGCTTTAGAGCAATGCCCATAGTATTTATAGAAAAAAGAAAGTGATATGAATTCTTATTTGAATTTAGTTGAATTAAAGCTTCAATTTTTATATTACAATCACATTCTTTAAATGTAATATATTTAAAAGAAATAATATAAAATTGTTTTTATAAAATTGTTTTACTATTCATGTTTAGATAGTTACATATAGTAACATATAGTAATAGCTTTTTTGAAATTTTGTTTTGGTTGACATGATTAATTTGCATGATGAAGTTTTTGAAAGTTTTTGTGTTGATATAAAGTTCATGTTTTTAAGTTTAATTGTTCAAAAGTTCATTAAAAAGTTATTTTTGAAAATGCTTTAAATACTGTCTTATATTATAAAGAGTATTTTCTTTTATGTAAAAAATCACTCCTTTTTCTCGCTTATTAATTTTACGTTCTAAAAAAACTGAATTGAAATCTGGGAGATGGAGATTCTAATTAAAATTAGAATCAAAAGATTCCTTAGAACACAATGTTTTTGTTTATTCCGCAAAATATGTTAAAAAAAGTTACCTGTTTTGCAGAATAAATTTAAAAAAATTCTAATTTTTTTTTTGAAACTCCTAATAGTTATGCGGATGATAATATAGTGAATAAAATAATCACTATATTATTCCATTTTAAAATAATATCTAGAGTTTCTTTCCTCTTTAGAGCAATTCTCATTATAATATTTGAAGAAAAAGAAAAGAGAAGCAACATTACATCAATGTGATAATGGTTAGAGGTTGGCTGCAAGAGCAGTTTAACAAATAACTTACTGAGCAGCTATTTTGTAACTGTTTTTAAACTAACTTTAACTTATGTTGGTTTAAATGAACAAGTTGCACAAATGCATATGAGATACATAGAAAATGTACTTTTTTAGATTTTTACTTTTTTCTAACAATTTGTGGTTAAGAATAAATGATGCTTGAATACCGCTCTCTTTTATGTATAACAATTTGTTTAAAAAGTTGTTTATTGAAGTATTCATAATGATTGTCTTTTGATTGTAAAAAGTGATAAGCTTGGGTGAAATTGAATATGATATGTTAAAGTGAAATTATTATTTATGATGAAAAATATGGAGAAAATTTAAGTTATAGCAACAGAATACTCTATTGGATTTTTTCATTAAATTTTTTCTATTGGATTTTTTTCATTAAATTTTTTCTATTGGATTTTTTCATTAAATTTGACATTAGCACAAGTCATAGGTTCATTTCAATCATGGATAATGTTAGCACAGCAATGTTAGAAAAATGAACTAAGTTAGTTCATTTTTCTGACATTGTTATTCTAACATTGTTATTTTCATAACATTGTTTTTCTAACATTGTCATTTTCATAACATTTTCTAACTTCAAGTTAATTGAAGTTAGCTTTGCTGTTGAACCCACTATTTGATATTATACTGTTCTAATTTTGAGCGGCGCATCAGTAAGACCAAGTAACTAAGTTGCTCATTTTGCTTTTCCTCTTCCAGAACATCCAGTACCTTGCAAAAGGCACTAGAAATATATTTGCCATAAAAATAGATTAATTTCCAACATTCATAAAAATAGATTAATTTCCAACCATACTATCTTAATTTACAGTACTTTTAAAAGTCTTTTTAAATTATTTTAAAAATCTTTTTTATTTATAATACAGCCTACTTTTTATCATAGCTAAAATATTTCATTACAAATTGTTCAATTTTTTGAATATTACTAATGTTTATTATAGGAAACATCAGGAGCTTCTTGATGCTTCCTGATGAGTCTACTATATATATATATATATATATATATATATATATATATATATATATATATATATATATATATATATATATATATATATAAATAAATATGTAATAGTTTTGTATATTTATATATCAATAGATTCAATTGATATATTTAAAAATGTATTTTATATATTTTTGTTTTTGTTTAAATATTTTTAGATGATAAAAGAGCTGACATTGGTAATTTATATTCTTTTGTCCAAAATTTGAAAAAGCTCTTGGTAAATTTATTATAGTTAAAAAAGTGAGTTATTTTTTTCGTTGACATTAAAAGTAAGTTATTTTTTTCATTGACTTCTTTTTAGATTTATCCTGGAATTCTTAATAAAGTTTTCATTGGTCAAAAAGATCTCCAATGCAATCTAAGTATTTTCAAAGCTGTTAAATATCTTGTAGTAATTCTCTTATTTTTTCTTATATTTATGTAAAAAGGTTTTTGAATATTTTTATTTAATATTTTATGAATAAAATAATAAATTAAAATATTCAGAATTATACTATTTGTAAAATACATTATATAATTATTTTTAGAAAATTTTAGTTTTCAAATCTTAAATAATATTTTATAAAAAAAACTAAATGCAAGCACAAAACACTTTTATTGCACATTTTATACATGGTATAGATTGTGGTCACAAGCTTTGTGGAGGAGTTGAGTTTGAATAATTAATGCAGAGAAATAAAATTGACAGTAATTTTGTTGAAAATAATTGAATAAAATTAATTTATTATTGCAAAAAAGATAAGAAGTTTAAAAATTTTCTATTAAAAAATCTATACAATGCTATATACATTCATATGATCACATATTAGTTTCACCTTTTCAAATTCTTCTGACTAAATAAAATAGCGTTAAGTGTTGCGTAGGAAAGTAGAGATTTTGTAGCCAAGATAAATTAAAATTATAATTTGAATAATAAAAAAAAATCTTGAATTTGACTTAAAGATTCAAATTTATTTGAATAGAAGATTTAATATTATTGCTAATTATATATATATATTATATATATATATATATATATATATATATATATATATATATATATATATATATATATATTTATATATACATATATATATATATATATATATATATATATATATATATATATATATATATATATATTATATATATATATATATATATATAAATATATATATATATATATATATATATATATATATATATATATATATATATATATATATATATATATATATATATATATGTATATATATGTATGTATATACATATATCATTTAATTTAATAATAAAAGTAATAGTAAAATTACTTTTATTATTAAATTAAATGATATATGTATACACATACAATAGTTATGGAGAAGTTCAGAAGCACTTAACAATTTTAGAAAGCATTTGATTTCTAGAAAGCATCTACAAAAAAAATCATGTTTTATTTGAATGTTTTAAATAAGTAAAGTTTCAGATGTTCATAGACAAAGTATTCTAAGTTTGAAGTACAGTCATACAAAAAGGTTTTAAGCCCATGGAAGTTATTGGTCAACAACATGTAAGTTGAAACCTGTCTGATGATCTTGTGTTTTGTTTTGAAGTTTAGATTTCTAAGATTTAGGATTGATGCATGAGATAAATGCAGGAGATAGATGGAGGAGATTTGTTTTATATATTTTCGTATGTAATACATCCATAAATTGTATGGTTTTAATTATTTTCAACACATGTAGGTGTAACTATCGAATTTTGTAACATACCTACTGGGGAGAGAGATATAGATAAATATACATATTTATTTACTAATTTCTCTCCAACACTTTTTAAGTTGAGAATTACCAGAAAACAAGGAATATTGTTAAACAGAAAGAAGTCGTTGACAGAAACTTAAAAACTATAAATTGTATGATTCAGGAAAACATGAAGATGGGAGTTGATGTACAAGGAAAAAAACTAGATAAATAATGTTTTTAGAGCATTAAGAGACAGATACAGTAAACTTTACTAAATGATGAGTCATGCAAGATTGAGTTTTGGTTTATGGACAAAGAGATAATGTTGGAGATAATATTGGAGATAATGTTGGAGATAATAGCTTGTTTGAGCAGCAATCATGACAGTATTTCTAAAAAGGAGAAAGAGATGTAACCTTATGACAATGAGATAGTGGCTCAAACTTGGCAAATAGAGCAGGTCCAACTTAATTTAGCATTTTTGGAGTAAGGTAGTGGCAAGAAGGATACAAGGAGATAAACTTTGAAATTTTGGATTTTTCAAAAGCATTAACCCTAGCTTTGTCTCCACCATCTCATGCATATTAGAATCTTTCTGTTATAACAGTTAACAAAGTCATTTGTAAACTGTTTCAAAGGGATTTCAAAGTTTTTAAAAATTGAAACTACAGATAGCTTTAGTAATAGAAGAAACTACAGACATTCAAATTACAGCTTTAGTAATGGAATCAGTAGTGATTTGGATGTTTTTATACTTGTTTGATAGCTTTTTGATTATCTTTGTTGATTTCACACTCTAATTAGTAAGTCAAGTTGAAAAAAGGTTTTAAACTTTTTTTATTTGTAAAAATAGAAAGAGGAAAAACTAGTAATTTAATTTAATTTTTATGAACTTTACAAGCAATTTGTTATTAATAAGTGTTTCACATATTAAATTTAAAAATTAATATAAAAGATTTAAACTCAGTCATTCCTTTCCTGATTTAGAAAAATAAAATTTTCTTTAAAAAAATAAAATGTTTGTTTAGAAGATTTTGAAAAATCATATATTTAATTATATAAATTAATCTATAAACATTACAAAATACTTTGAAAATTTTACATTTAACAACAAAATACATGCTTAAATTAGTAAATAAAGTTATTTTATTTTCTTGTATAATTCATATAAAATGCTCCTAAACGAGTTCTAAGAAAATTGTTACAAAACTTATAAATTAAAGTAACTTAATAAAAGTTTTTTCAAATAATAATAAAAAAGATTTTTAGGAAGACATGAAAAAAACGTTTAAATTTATCATAAAAAATATATATAACATTTATGTATAACATTTTTTATTAATTTACAAAAAATGCGTTTATTTAACACGTTCACGCCGGCGTGTACCACCGGTATTACATGCCGGCGTGAACGTGTTAAACAATCATTACAATTAATTTTACGTCTTTATTGTGCTCTATCTATGAATGAGTCAAGTTCTCATTAAACCCAAATCATGACCAAAGTAACCAAAAATTTAAAACCTAAAAAACCATCCCCACCACCTAAATATTTTAATATATCTTTTACAAATATTCGCGGCCTACGAAGCAACTTTCCATCAGTTGAGTCTTACCTCCTGCAAAATTCACCAGACTTGCTTGCACTCAGTGAAACAAATTTAAGTTCTGCAATTCCTTCTTCAGATGTCAGTGTTGATGGGTACTATCCTTTGATTCGTAAAGACTCCAATAGTCACATGCTAGGTTTAGGGGTATACATACGCATTAATTCCCCTATTTGTCGTGAAATCAGGTTCGAATCCTTTGACCATTCTTTTATGTGCTTTCGCCTAGCACCTCTTCACTCTATCACCTTTCTCTTTGTTCTTTATCGTTCTCCTTCTTCCCATGATTGCACTCTTTTAGATGTTATCTCTTATCAAATTGACCATGCCCTCTCTCTTTACCCCTCTGCCAATATTGTTGTTGTTGGTGATTTTAATGCCCATCACACTGAATGGCTTGGCTCTAACAGCACTGATCCTGCTGGCACTAAAGCCTTTAACTTCTGCGTTTCTCAATCTCTTACTCAGATAGTTAACTTTGTGACTCGTTTTCCTGATAACCCTAATCATTTACCTTCACCCCTTGACTTATGTCTTGTCTCTGACCCTAGCTTATGTTCAGTTTCTCCCTTTTCTCCCTTAGGTGGTTCTGACCATGCAATGATCTCTATAAATCTTTCTTCTCGTACTTCTTTTGGGGCTTTTTTTGGGCTCACCTTATCATCGCACCACCTACTACTACCCTAAAGCTGACTGGGATTCCTTTTGTGATTTTCTTCATGATGGTCCTTGGGCTGATGTTTTTTCTCTCTCAGCTGACAAATGCGCCTCCTACGTAACCTCCTGGATTCAGGCTGGAATGGAAGCTTTTATTCCTTCTCGTCGGTTTCAAGTCAAGCCTCATTCTACTCCATGGTTTTCTCCTTCTTGTGCGGCTGCTATATCCAATCGTAATCATTTTTTTCATCTTTTTCAAAAGAACAACTCTCTTGAGAACAAACGGCTATTTATTATTGCAAGAAATCGATGTAAAAAGGTGCTTTCTGATGCTAAACTCCATTATTCTCAGTTCACTAAATCTCGCATCTTATCACAGAAGTTAGGCTCTAAAGACTTTTGGAAAATCTTCAACAGCATTGTTAACAAGGGTAGATCTAACATTCCATCTCTTATTCATGAAACTGATCTTGTTACCTCTCCCAGGGATAAGGCAGAACTGTTTGCAAAGAACTTTTCTTCTAATTCCACTCTTGAATCTTATGGACATTCTCTTCCTTCCATTCCAGTCAAACAGGTTGACCCATTGTTAGACATTCAAATCACTCCGGCT